TTGCTCTCCTTGCTCAGAAAGAAGCCCGGGGCCGTCAAGTCCCCGCAGCCCCCGAAGCCATGCCTTCCCCAGCTGGCCCTCTCTACCAGACCCGGGCTGGGGTCCTCCCGGTGGGCATTCTGGATGAGTCCGAGCGCGAAGTGGGGAAAAGGAGCAAAAGGAAGGAAGGCGGAAGGGAGCTTACCACCGGGCCGGCCAGCCACAGCAGCCCCCGCAGCTCCTTTCGGAAGTTTAGCGTCAGCAGCCAGCGCAGCCCCCGAGGCTCGGAGGGCGCCGGCGCGTCCTGGCGAGCCACCTCCATACCGTCCACACTGGCTCCCCGGCGCAGGGTACGGAGAGGGCCGGAGAGCGCCTGGACTCTAGACGAGCAGTCCCCGCCCCCGCCCGCCCCGGCTCCAGCCCGAGCCCGCCCAGATCAGCCCAGGGAGGGCCGGGCCACCGACGGCTGCGGGGCAGCGCAGACGTGCCGGAGACGCCGGCGCGCGCGCCGCGGCCACAGCCCTGCAGGCTCTCCGAGAGGGTTTGGAACGCGGTGGCCTGAGCTGCCCGCCTCCAGGCAGCCTGCCCCCGCCCATCCCGAGCCGGCCAGTCCTCCGACCGAGCCTGCGACCTTGACCGCGTATGCTCTAAATAACCGTAATTCCCCAGTGAATGGACGAATGGCTCTCATAGACTGGCAGAACCTTAGAAAGACTCTAATTCAAATCCTCCACCCCCATCCAAACCCAACCATTGTGCAGAGAAGTGGTGGGCTGCAAGCCACAGAGTTAGCAGCAAAACACGCACTTGAACCTGGGTCCTGCAGCCAAAGCACCTGGCTCTGAACTCCACCTCTGCCATTAGCTACCTGGGCGACTCTGGCCAAGCCAGTTCCCTTTGGTGGGCCTCAGTCTCCTCACCTGTAAGATGAAGTCGTTGGACTTAAGGCTCACACGGGTCCCTTCGGGCTCTAAATATTATTCCTTCTGCGAGTATAACCTCGCCCTCCTTCCCGAAACAGCCTCCCTCCTCAATCAACTATGAGTTTGTGAGAAACGGATATTTTTAGTTAAAGGGCTTTGGGACAAACACGGGAGCATAAATATCTAAAGTAGAATGTAGCATTTTAAAGCTAGGTTTTTATTAGTCACCTACATTTCCAAATGTATCCTTACACCTCCCACTCCTGGTAGAACCACCTCATGTCAAATAAACAAACAAACAAAAGATAAAGGAAAGAATAAGGGGGAAAATAAACAAGTCAATCCACTTTTTCAAATGACTATCATATGTTCCATATCCCGTGGACCATTTCCCTTCACCTCTGCAAGGGCAGGAAATGCCTGGCAGGGAGAAGGGAGAGGAGGAAATATCCAAGGTAACATCTGAAAGCAGCAGGGTGTAGAGGAAACAGCCCCAGAGCAGGGGTCAGGAGACCCAGGTTCAAGTGCATGTTTTGCTGCTAACTCTGTGGCTTGTAGCCCACCACTTCTCTGCACAATGGTTGGGTTTGGATGGGGGTGGAGGATTTGAATTAGAATCTTTCTAAGGTTCTGCCATTCTATGAGAGTCATCTGTCCATTCACTGGGGAATTACAGTTATTTAGCTGTTTGCTCAATAGAAAACCCTACAGATGGCTAGCTTAGTAAATGCTTTAATAATAGGTAGCATTTTTATAGCATTTTAAGATTTGCCAAGCACTTCCCATATATGGTCTAATTTGATCCTCACCATAACCTTCTGAGATTGGTGCTATTATTATTTCCATTTTACAGATGAGAGAAACTGAGGCTGAGAGGGGTTAAGGAAGTTGCCCAGTGTCACACAAATAGTAAAGGGTCTGAGGCAGGATGCCAACTTGGGTCTTTCTGAAGATACTGTAGCCACTCCTACCCAAACCATGCTCTCAGTACCGTGGTCTTCCTCCCCTCCTTAATCCTGGAAGCCATGCCTTGTTTAGTACAACCCAGTATTGCGTTAAGCTTTGTTGGCCCCTACGTCACACTGTTAATTCACAATGATCTATTATTGTTCAGTCTTGTCTGATGCTCTGTGATCCCATTTTGGAGTTTTCTTGGCAAAGATACTGGGGATGGTTTGCCATTTTCTTCTCCAACTCATTTGACAAATGAGGAAACTGAGGTTTGCAGGGTGAAGTGACTTGCCCGTGGTCACACAGCTAGTGTCTGAGACCGGATTGGAACACAGGAAGTTGAGTCTTCCTGACTCCATCCCAGAACTTTGTCCACTGCACCACCCACCTGCTCCAACGGTCTGGTAGTGCACTAATATCCTGTTTTTTTCAAATTGTTGTCTCACTATCTCCACACACACAGTTATAACTGTGAAGTTGATTTTTTTTGTACCCAAGGGTAAAATTACATGTTTATCCCCATTGAATTCATCTTCTTAGATTCCAGCTCCATGCTCTAGCCTTCCAAGAGCTTTTTGGATCCTGACTCTTTCATCCAGTGTGTTAGCTGTTCTACCAACTTGGTGCCATCTGCAGATTTGAAGATCATGTTATCTATGCCTTTATTCAAATCATTGATAAAAATGCCAAACAGCACAGGGCCCAGAATAATTCCCTAGGTCACTCCACTGGAGACCCCCCTGCCCAGACATAAACCCACAGTCCAGCTATCTGACCAGTTCAGGATCCTTTTAATTGTATTGCTGTCTAATCTATTTCTCTTCATTATTTCTCTCTCTGTCTCTCTCTCATCTCTGCCTCCTAAGTAAGAATAGCATGAGATACTTTATCAAAAACTTTGCTAAAATATAGACAAAACCTTGGCAAATCAAGGGATCCAGCCCCCTTCTCGGTGAGTGATCTCATCAGCTCCCCTGGTTTCAATCATTATCCTCTATTCAGAAGACCTCCATGATTCTCTATCTAGCCTTAGTCTCTCTCCTGAGCCAGGATCCTGCTTTGACAACTTGCTGAGCGTTTGCCTGAACATACCATTGGCATTTCCAATTCAAAGTGTTCAAAATGGAACTCATTATATCCCCCTACCCCCAACCTATCCCTTTTTCCAAACTCCCTTCTTTCTTGAGAGGGCACTAACCAGCCTCCCCAGTCAGCCAGGTTCACAACCTCAGTCATGCTTGACTTTTCCCTCTCCCACACTTCTGTTGAATAGCTGCCAAGTCATCATCATCTTCTTCTTCTTCTTCTTCTTCTTCTTCTTCTTCTTCTTCTTCTTCTTCTTCTTCTTCTTCTTCTTCTTCTTCTTCTTCTTCTTCTTCTTCTTTTTCTTCTTCTTCTTCTTTTTCTTCTTCTTCTTCTTCTTCTTCTTTTTAGGTAATGGGGGTTAAGTGAGTTGCCCAGAGTCACATAGCTAGTGAGTGTTATGTGTCTGAAGCTGGATTTGAACTCAGGTCTTCTTGATTCCAGGGCCGGTACTCTATCCACCGTGCAATCTAGCTGCCCCACGACAAGTCTTCTTGATCAGTCATCCATAGCATCTCTCATATCTCCTCTCCACCCACAAGACTCATATCACCTCTATTCTATTGAAGTAATCTCCTGACTTTTCTCTATCTACTGCACCCCCTAGTGCCCCTGTACTACATGGCACAACGGGGTCCTCTGACTCCCTGAAGCCCTCTTCTACCTGAACTATGCTGATTATATTGATCAGAACGCCAATGTCTTTCAATGCTGTTTCCTCTTATGTTATTTGGTTCTAATTTAGAATCTGAAGCACCAGAGTAGCCTGAGTCAGGCCTGACCTACGACATTTGTTACAGAAGTGACTGGATTGTATAGTGATGGATTCATTTAGGTTGGGGAAAGATGATGCCAAAAAGGTGACTCCCAGCAGGCTCCTTGGCAATGATGGCCACATATTATGAGGTGTCTGCCACCCTCTGTCCCAAGGGGATTAGAGGGGAAACTGTCTGTGGGCATTCAGCAACTAGAGAGGGAAGAATGTGCTTGTGACTTTAAGAACTGTCCCCTGGGGGCAGCTAGGTGGCACAGTGGACAGAGCACTGGCCCTGGAGTCAGGAGGACCTGAGTTCAAATCTGGCCTCAGACACATAATACTTCTTAGCTGTGTGACTCTGGGCAAGTCACTTAACCCCAATTACCTCACTTAAAAAACAAAAATAAAAACTGTCCCCTTAAGATGATAAATCTGGTGAATTTTCATTTGTATAGTTTGTGTTTGTACGTAATCATTTTCTCCAGGCCCCCCAGCTACAGCACATCTGTGTCTACCATAAAGACAAATGTGGTAAATGCACCATGGTTGATTGACTCTATCAGTTTAAGAAACTTAACAGAGGGGATAGGTTCTGCTCTTGACCTTCTGAACTTTCTCTTTCTCTCCCTCTCTGTCTTTCTATTTATCTCCCTCTATCTCTTTGTCTCTCTCTATCTCTTTCTCCCTTATCTCCCTCCCTTTTCTCCTCTCTCTGTATCTCTCTTCCATTCTTCTTTCTTCCCTCCCTTCCTCCATCTCTGTCCCTGTCTCTCTCTTTACCTTTCTCTCTTCTCTCCTTCCCTCCCTCTTTGTCTGTCTGTCTGTCTCTTCCCTTCCTTTCTCTCCCCCTCCTTCTCCCTCTGTCTCTCTGTCTGTATCTCTCTGTGTGTCTCTCTGTCTCTGTGCTTCCTTTCCTCTCTTCCTCCTCCTCCCTCTTCTCCAGGGAGGGCTGAGTGTGGAGTCCCTATGGAGTAGGCCCCAGCCTAGATAATAGGGAAAGCAGCAGCACTCATGGCCATCCTCTGCTGGACATGGTGGGGCAGCTTTCTGGACCTGGACTAGAGGTGTAGTGAACAGGCCTCAGCAGCAGCAGCAGCTGGTGAGAGGAGCAGATCTCAGGCAATGGCAATGTCCCGAGCCAAGCTCCAGCCCTGATACAAGAGGCTGCATCAGCAGCCAAACCCTGACCTATGGGGGCATCATTTGGCCCAGCACAGAGGGGCATACCCAGGCCCTGGAAGAGAGAGACTCGGTACTTAAGCCCCAGAAATGTCAGCGCCTACAATGCTATGGCCGGAGCAGCCTCCAGTACAGGAAGAGTAGTGCTTGGCCCTGGCAGAGTGGGCAGTGCCAGCAGCACAAGGAATAGTGGGCAGTGGATCAAAGCAGTATAGCCAGCCCAGTAGCAGTAGAGGGGCAGTGATGCGAACATAGCTGCCAGTGCAGCAAGTACCCGGTGGTCACTGGACAACTTTTCAGGAAGCACTTAGCAGACCAAGGCATAGAGTTTGGGGGACATAACTCTCTTTCTGGCTAGAGTGGGGAGGAACTGTGTACCTAACACTTTCTTATCTTCCCCTTCCCAAGAAATAGGGCAATCCCTGAGCA